AGACATTCCTTTTAGATGCCTTCTGAAATCCAGAATTTCTGATTGTTTTGTGGGTTTTCTCATTATGACCTTTTTGCGGTTCTATATTATTATTAGTATTGTGGAAATACTTTTGTACAACATTGCAGTTGCAGTAGAATTACAGGACGTGATGAAACAAGTGTGATATTCTATATTGTCTTTTATTTGAAATGTAGAAGTACTTAATATGCTCCAGCCAATAATAGATTCCCATTGTCATAAAAGTAAAGTGTTTGAAATAATTTGTTAGCACCGAATGATTAGTTGTTCTAGATTAATGGTTCTTCTTTGTCTGGAAGCTTAATTTCTGCTTGTGCCAACACTTCTTTAGATTTAAGAATTAGGGTGAGATTTGTATTGGTCTCTTGATATTGGTAAAGAAAATTTATCTAAACCAGAGAGGATTGGTTAGCAGAAAAAAAACCCATACAAGACAGACATATAAAGCAGCACAAATTCCTGGAACACAAGCAGAACTGCTGTTGGCAGTGGGGTTTGGTTGGTTTAGGGGCTGATTTTTTTGTTTATTTGTTTTTTGGACGTTTGTTTTGTTGTGGGTTTGTTGGTTGTTTTTTTTTAATTAAAGTAGTAGAGCATATTAAGAGTCTGTGCTTTAGTCAATAATCCTTAACAAATCAATCCTTTGCACATGGAATACGTTAATGTCTATCATAAGAACCCTGAGTTGAGAAATTCATTGCTTCAAAGAAAGAAGCGTTATTTTACTGGTGCATCAGAATTGACTGGTGTCCTGCAAGAACATTAATCAGAATTCATTATCTGAATTTTTTACTCTCACATGAAAACATTTAGTGCTTTTCTTAGCCTTAGACTGAACAGACAGACTCTGAGCTGTCATAACCTCTCTAAAGATGAACCAGGACTTTTTCCAGCTTTGCACCTTGTACTCCTTGAATTACTCCTGGGAAAATTACGACATGTTTTATAACGGTGGAAGGAGACAAAAGTGACTGGATCGTATCAGGCAGTGTAGCATGCAACCTGATTACGTGAGCCTTCTGTGTAACTGAGTTTTCTCTGCATTAAGTAAGAGGTTTTGCATAAAAGCTCTGTCCTTCAAGTGAATCGTGTGTGAGTCTCGTAGGAGATGTTTGTGAGATGAATCCACACTCTCTCATCCCAAGACACTACGCAACCTTGCACAGTTTCTAGAATGTTTGGCGTTAGTGCCCCCTTTTCCCCCAGCCCTTCATCCTCAGAAAGAAAGGAAGTAAATAATTACAAACAACATCCTATTTAAAAACATTACCTTGTTACTAGGCTGTCTTCTTGTTTAGCTGAAAGGGGTACCCTTTTCCCCCTTCCCTTTTGATGAAACATGTCTATAAAAAAATGACAAAAAATTTAGCTTAGTGCAGCATTATTATTATTAATGCAGAAAACATCTGGTTCTGTGCTATGCTATATTACACTTGTGATCTTTATCTCACTTTTAAGTATTTTCATGTAGTGTTGTTATGGCAATGCATGAAGATTGCAGCTGTGTGAATTTATTTTGGTGAATTGCTGATCTTAGAAAAATGTCAGGGCTTTTTGTTTGGTTTGTAGGTAGGTGGTTTGTTTTTTTATTGCAGAGAACATACAACATACTTAATGGAAATTGCTGTAGGACCAAGGTAGGGTCTTCACATACCTTATTTTCATATAGAGAATGACAGAGAATTAACTTTAAATCAAAGAAATACAGTGCACAGTCATGCATTAAAATAGCAAACTTTTATTAGCATGAGTGAGATGGTTTCATTTACGTGAACTTCCAATCAGTCGCTGTACAAAGCTAGGTAACAATTTTCTAAGGATTTGAGAAGTTTCACAGTATTCTTGTCTTCCATCACATAAGCAGTCATCAGCTTGGATTTTCTTTCTCTCTTTTCTCAGTGAATTACCTCATTGCTGCTCAATAAAATCACTGAACCGCTCAGCTGTATCATCACTAGTTGGTCTAGCAGAGAATACAAAGAAAGAGAAAAGATTCAGTGTTCCAGACCCTGTAACTGAATTGACTTCTCAATGAAATCCTTTTTTGCTAAGACTGATTCTTTCCGATGTTACATAGAAACATCTGAACCTTTGGAAACCTTTTTTTTTATTATTCTTAAAATGCATTATTGCTCTCATTTGTATTAATTTTAATACCATCCGTATGTATGAGCAAACATTCTTCTGCAAAGAATTTTTCTTTGCAAAAGTTCTTTTGTAAAATCAATTGTTTAACAATATATACAGACACAGAGTTTATTACTAAAATTACTGTATGATTTATTATTGTGGTTTTTTTATTTAATTAAGGGCCTTCAATAATAAATGTGGTCAATCAGGAAGGTTGCCAGATGGCACATAAACTTGCTCACAGCTCAAAAATTCCCAACCAAAGGTATGAGTACCTGGAACCAGGCACCTTCTCAAAGCCCAGTGGCTTTCATGAAGAGAAAGTGCAATATCTGTGCCGTAAATTTGAGGCATCCAGAAGAAACTGAAATCATTGAATACTGAGGCAGAAGTGCAGTAATCAAAGTTATTCTTTGGATTTGGTAGACTGGGTTATATTACTCTGTCTAACTGGAATATTAACAGCTTTTTTGTAACTTGCCATGGACAACCCTGTATCAGATCAATGAAAATTCCTTGAGAAAAATTAACAATTGTATATGATGTTTGTTTTTTTTTTTAAAATCTGCAGTTTAGCATGCACATTACTGCTGTTGCTCTAACAGCATGTGACAATAACTCAGTACTGCATAGTATTCTGCCTAATTCTCTGTTAGCTACAGCTACAGGCACCTCTGAAATCCCCTCTCTCTTGAGAGAAAAGTGTTGGTACTTGACTAAAAATGACAAAGCCGGCATATTTTTGCTAGACAAATTCAAATATAAAAGGTATCATAGAGGGCATATCATTGCGCGATTGAAACAGTCTTAGTCGTCAGAGAGCCAAAAGTTAATCAAGCAGCGAACAGTTGAAAACCTCATTTAAAGAAATCACATCTGGCCTATGTCATCGCGCGATTGAAACAGTCTTAGTCGTCAGAGAGCCAAAAGTTAATCAAGCAGCGAACAGTTGAAAACCTCATTTAAAGAAATCACATCTGTTTAGGGGGAAAAAAAAAAACGGAGGCATATGCTTCAATTTCATTTAAACTGTAATCCATCCAGTGGTTTACATCTGTTAAAAAATATGGAACTTTTCACACCTCTTTAAAGCACAATTAGACTGTATTTATTTTAATACATAATGTGTTCCGAATATGTAATACCTTTTCTGAAATGACTCATAGGTGATTGATTTCATAATTCTTTATCACATAGCCTTCCAACTCCTTTGAATTAGTTTTTATATTAACCATAGATGAAATGTAAAGAAAAAGGTGTGGAAATGGTGGAAACCGATGCCAGAAACTTCAGTGGAACTGTCAATTTATACCGCCACCAAGCCAACGAATTTTGGGAGGGAGGAGAGTTTTCTTAAATTAAACATTACAGATAAGAAAATCTAGTTCAAGGACTTCAGCCACAAAAATTTCATTTAAGTTTAGCCTTGTTGGTTTTGGATGTTGCTTATTAAAATATCCCCAAAAGACTTGTTACCATGGCATAATCCTGACAATCTGGCCCTACTGCCTGGAGTTTGGAGTACAATGGTAGGAGTAGTATCTATGAGCTATAAGGGACAACCAGAAATATTTCAGGTAATGATCCTGGGGGGGCTGTATCTCACTCTGTTGTGTATGAAGAGGAGCCTGGTACTCCACTGTGCATCTATAATGGCTACTTGTGTACTTTAAATTCTAATTGAACATTTACTCTTCTGATTTTAAGGTTCTGTGTGTCTTTTCCCCACCTGATGTTGGGGTTTGAAGTTTGTCTTTATGCACATTCTGGTCTGCTCAGATTTCTTAACATCAGGTTTATTTTGTAAACATAAATATATGAAAATACATGCATATACGTTATCTGAAAGACATTTTAATTAGATGATCATGTACTGTGGACCATAAGCCACATGCGTCAGCCGGTATGTGGAATGGTTGGTGCTCATTTAATAGCAGCCAGTCAGTGTTTTGCTTTTTTACCTTTCAGTTAGAACCTTACCAAATTATAAACAACTGCAAATTGGGCTTTATGGATACATTAGATATACAGAATTTGCCTGGTTTATGTTAGCAAAAAAATATACAGATTATCCCTAAAGAATTTCCCAACTGAAAAACAAGAGAATTAATTTACAGTCTAATTAAGCTACGCTATTCCAGTGTGATCTTAGACAAAACATTCTCTGAGAGGCTCAGCTGTCTCCCTGTAAAATGGGAATGATTTGACAGTAGTAGAAAATCCAGTTATTATTATGAGTTGCCCAAATACTACAGCAATATGGAGGGTATAAGTATGCACATTATGGTTTATTTCAATGTGATATATGTATCCATTTCATATTTTCAGAGTTTAGCAGAGCACTTTTATTTTAGCAATATTTTTCCATTGCTAAGTGAATAGATGATGAAAAAAAATCAGAGGATGAGCATACACTCAAAAAAATGAATTTTCTCTTCAATATGCTATATTTTTCCATTGGTAAGTGAATAGATGATGGAAAAAAAATCAGAGGATGAGCATACGCTCAAAAAAATGAATTTTCTCTTCAATATGCCCTGTGACAAATGGAGCTATTGGACAGCATCTCTTGATTTTTATAAAAAAGAAATAGAGATTGAAAAAATATGCAGCGCTGTAAGGAGTGGAAATCATACTGAATATTTTTCAAGGAATATCACCCTTGTAGCAGGGTGATAATATAGATAAATAAAATAATTTCAAATGTCTGTTCCTATTATACAAGTAACTGTGTGCATTTTCTTCCTGATTTTTGAGTTGTACCATTCTTTAGTGACTCTGCAGGTGGAGCACCTTTGTTGCCGCAGAATTTAATTGTGTGTTCATCCAGTCCTTCTGTCTTGTTGCAGAGGATCTTGACGATCTAAGGATGGAAGGAGTAACAAGCGTGATGTCTTCTGGGAGCAAATTCAATCAAACTCGAAGTGCTCATACGGCTGAGCCTCAAGCAAAGGTCACGTTGAATATCTGCGCAAGATGTGCCAGGTAAAAAGCAAAACAAACCCAGATCACACTAACCAATACGTCCTTTTCCCCAGCTTTTCAGCGATGTGTTGTGCTTATGAGCCAAGTGATGACCTCTCCTGTGCTAAAGAAAAACATAATTACTTGTCTACTGGCTGCCCTGTGACTTCTGGCATTTGGGTTGTGCAATTTACGCTTATGCTTGATACGTCGCATCAACAATAAATCAAAGATCATAGTTAGTCTTAGGCCTTACCTCACAGCTTGAAACTGTTTTAAACCTTTCTGTCTCTGAATTTCATTAGTTATTTGAGCTTCTGTGGTTTTTCAGGGGATGAATCGGGGAATGTAAAGGTTCAAATCCAATTTGAAAAGCACCTGTATAAATGGAGATTTAGTTGCACAGGTGCAGTTCAGGATTTCAAATAGCTGCTTCTTAGCACTTTATAATCTCATCCTGTTTCACTTCTGAGAAATAATTTAATCAGGTTGAACCCCTCTTGGTTTTGACAGCTGGAAATAATTCTTGCATTTACAGTATGAGGGCCAAATAAACAGGTTGGTATTCCAGTAGCCAAGTCAACTTGAGAATGCAACACTAACAGAAGCCCCTTAAATTTCCTAGATGCATTCTTCTGTGTAGACAAAAGCTCATTTGGAGAAAGGATTTAAGCCTGTTTAAATGACAAAACTAGCCTTCTCACCCTTCTGTTAATGGTTCAGATTAGCAAGAACAATACAGAGGCATGCCAATTTTATCTGCCTGCCTTTGCCAATGGCTGCTCCATTGTGTGTTTTGAGAGGGGATTAGCCCCTTGTAAATAAAAAGCAACCTGTGGTGAAATTAAGTCAAAAGTTTGGCCATATGCCACCCTACGTCTCTACTTTTTTCCCCATTTTGCTTGTAAATTACTACTTTTAAAAGGCACTTATGTAGGAAGAGGGGCTTCAGAACATTTTCTGATGCTGTGGGCAAAATAACTATGGGCATACTGAAATCGCCCATGCAATAGCATCCCTTCAGCAGGGGTGTGGAGCCTCAGGGAACTTCAGCCCATGTACCATCGGAGCAGCAGTGACTGGATGTAATTCTAGAGAGTTTTGCTGTCAACAGTTGTGGCCTTACGCTTGAAGAAAAGAGCAAACGTGTCTAGGCATGGGATTCTTCCCAATTCACTAGAAACAACTTGCTTACGTTGTGAAATGTTTCCAAACAACTAGCTATGTGAAAGCGTGTCATCTTTTTTCAGCTGGCATCGGTTGTCCATGGGTAAACAAGTAGAAAGATAAGGAAAATAGAAATGTTAAGTTTCCGCCACGGTCTTTTTGCACTTACATAAAATCTTGTATGGATTACTATGAAGGTTAATTAAATTTTAAATTCCCTAAAGTAACTGCTAACAGCAGGTGCCAAGACACTATATATTCTCTCAGTCCTGCACACCAGGGAACAAACGGCTCAGATCTTGAGCCAAACCTAGCAACCTTGGCTATCGCTATTGTCTTTCAGCTGGCTGGACTATATGACTCTGCAGTCTAAAATATGAGGACTTGTGAGAGAAAGACCTCATAAAATCCCCTTTTGTCACTTCAGTTACCAGAGAATGCAAAGCAGTGCTTTATTTTTGCTAATACACCTTCATTTCATTCCCTACCCTGTTTAATGAAGTCGGTGAGGAACTGGGTGATACTACTTGACTGTGGTTCTTTTCACTCTCATTGCAGTTTATCAGTTTCTTTAAACTTGGAGGAATTAAAAAAAATATACCATCTCATCAGTAGCAAGGGAAGTCAAAAGAAAGAACTGGGTATTGTTGTTGTTTTTGGTTGTGAGGGAACTAACATTTATTTGTCAAGATGATTAAGTCAATCTATTCTTTTGGAGTGTTCCTTCCTTCCTTCTTACTGAGTCTGAGGACTTTTCCTTTTTCCTCTCTTACTTCAAAACAGACCTATTAGTGCAATAAGCTCTCTGTTTTGATACCTCCACAGTGGACTGGTCCAGTACCTTGTCGCAGCAGGTGAAGTAGTGGGTAGAGGTAGCTGCGCAAAGCAAGTGACTTCAAGGACATGAAGATTTTTTTCCTATTTAGTTCCAAGAGAAATTAAATTTGCTGTTACTCATTGAGAATACGATGCTATAAAATCATAGCCTGAGTATTTGGGACATCTCTGTGAAGTTTCTCAGTGTTGACATTTATCTCCATTGTTATGACAAAACCTAGCATTTATTTTAAGGTCATAATACAGAACCCATTAGTATATTCATTTGTTTCAGAAATGATATTTTTACTTTTCATATTGTCTTCTCTAAGTAGCCTTGTGTACTGCACTGCTTATATATAAATACTATGGGATTTGATTGTAGGCACATTTGAATACAATTGAAAAAGAAGTCAGTATAAGCTGTTGTTATGCATTCTTTTGGTTACAATTAAACAGATGTTGTCTTTCCTCGTGATTTTAGCCTTCTTTTGGTTATATAAAGTGATTTGAAATGACTGGACCTATTAATGGCAGTCGGTGTTCTGTAGGTAATAGGACTTGTCAAATCAGATTATCAAATCAGGTTTGCTGAAGGTATTTTGGCTGTCTGTAGGAGGAATATGACTTTTTACTTGAAATTTGAATGGCGGAGTTCCAAATGTTAGGAAACGTGCTTCTTGGCTCAGACAAAAAGTTTAATTTTACTCTTGTATTTGCATAATCTAGTTCTTTCACCTCGCTATATTTTTTTAAAAAAATGTTCTACTCTGATTACTCTCCAGTCAATTTGCCTTTTATGATACCTCCTCCAGAAGGTTCCTTACTTTCTTGGATGTGTTGGGGCTCTTCTGAGAGGGATTTATTTAAACAATTGAAGGAGTCATTTGCATAATCTAGTTCTTTCACCTCGATATATTTTTTTAAAAAAGTGTTCTACTCTGATTACTCTCCAGTCAGTTTGCCTTTTATGATACCTCCTCCAGAACGTTCCTCACTTTCTTGGATGTGTTGGGGAGGGAGAGGGATTTATTTAAACAATTGAAGGAGTTCCTCAGTACTAGCTTTGACTTAATTTGGCTTAATTTTTTGGGTCTCACTTGGAAAGGACAAATAGTCTTAATACTACTTCATTAAAACCATGTGCAAGTTTTAGATCTTCCAGCTACTAGGATTGGATTTTACTGCCCTAGATCATTAGAGCTCCCCCATTATTTGAGAATTGGAGAGAACAGGTCTATGGCTATGTGTAGGTTACTTTGACCACTGGGAGCACTTGCAGCAGGACACAGTGCAGCAATATGTCTTATCTCTTCTGTGGCCTCTGGAGCTGGGAGTGACTATAGTTAGAGATAATAATCTACTTTTTACAAGGCAAATTAAATCCAATTTATATTGTGGGCCAAATCTGCAATGCTGTTGAGGTGCTGCGTTTTGCAAAACATTCTCCCTTGCCTTAAGTCTCTCAGACAAAAATAAGAGCTTTTGCATGAATCATAAGAGATGAAACTGAGAATGGATATAATCTGAACTAGAATAACCCCCCAAACTTTTAATTTTTTTTAGAAACTGGTATCTAACCTTCAATGCTGATAATTTTACCAATCATCTTCAAATCATAGATAGATGGAGTTATCACAACCCAGGTCAGTAATTTTAATAAGAGGTAGAGTTTTCCACCCTGACATTTAGGAGGTAAAGATGGGGGATTCTTTCAAGCTATCACACCAAGTTGGTTTTTACAGCTTATATTTTATAAAAAAAAAAAAATTCCCCCAAAGAAAATAAAACAAAAAATCTAAAAAAAAAAAAACCAAGAGAGAAAGAGAAATAAAAGGAGGGGTTAATTCTCCTGGAGTATAAATTAGTTTGTAGACTGGAATATAGCTGTAAGAAACAGAGAGCTTACTGTTTTCTGTATAGATGTTTCACACACGATGAGCGAAATGCAGATGGATAACAGCTTTAAGAGGTTTTTCAAATGGGAAAGTAGCTACAGAACAATGTTATTCCCATAGCTGCTCTTGGACTACAGTGCAAGTTAAGCAGCATATTAAGTCATCTAAATAAAGGGGTGACATCATTCACAAGGTGGAACAAAACAAGGTTCATAGATACAGAAATAAAGGCTACAAAACCCCCCGTGTTTGGAAGGTTTGCTTTTTGCTATTTTGTCTGGAAAATTAGCAAAGACACTTTTATTGCGGCTGATCTGGATTTAGATCATTTAAGCAAAACTATTATAATAAAAAAATCCTTCATTTCAGGGCAGAACTAGTCTGAGTGACTTGGAGAACACACTGACTCATTCTATAACAAGATTTTGTGAATCCTTTCTCACGTACAGGCAAAACAAATGGATTTCAGGTTTGGCCGATGAATCATAAGACACTCTCGCACATAAGCAAAACTCATATGGGTTAAATAAAGATCTAAATGACAATTTGTAAATGCCAAACAACACTTCCATATTTTCTCATGTATTGTGACTTGCACATTGAGTGTTTTGCAAGAATTTAATCAGGCATAAGGTATAAGATAATATTCATGTACTATTGAAAGAATTTTAGGGGGTTTTCTTTTTTTTTTTAACTTTTTTTTTTTTTTTTAAGGCCCCCCTATTGTGACTTGCACATTGAGTGTTTTGCAAGAATTTAATCAGGCATAAGGTATAAGATAATATTCATGTACTATTGAAAGAATTTTAGGGGGTTTTCTTTTTTTTTTTAATTTTTTTTTTTTTTTGTAAGGACCACCCATTAGCCTTGTATGCCCACTGCCATGCTCAAAAGTTAAATCTTGTTCTTGTGGAGTCTTGCCAATGCATTCCTGGAAGTAAGAAGCTTTTTGTTTTTAATAGCGCAAGGGCTGCATTCATTCTTCTTAACATCAATAGAATACAAAAAAGGGGTTGCATGTGATTAAAAAAGAAATGGGATTATAGAAAACATACTGTGCCACAAGCTTGAAGGCTTCTGAGCAAGAATGTTGGGAAGGAGCACTAGTCGCATACAAATGTAGGTTTGAGATGCAATATT